GTTGTATATTTCAATTTCTTTTTTTTTTTTTTTTTTGATTGTTTATTCACTAAAGGCAATAATAATCCTTTTTAAAACTTTTTATTTACTACAATGATGGTCGTACATTAAATAAGATGAAATATAAACAAAGTGATGAGAAGACATATAATAATGTCATCGGAAATGTGAAATGTCAAACTGAAATTAGAAATAGGTCATTGATGGACAAAAAAAACGGAATCGGATGCAATTTTGCTTACATTGCCTTACATTTCAGACTAACGATATCAAAAGTACCATATTTAATTAATTAAAAGGTGAATATATTAGGATAGAATAAAAGTAATTATAATTCTTTTCATACATAATAATAGTTGGAAATGAATTGAATAATCGGAATGATTATTTGAATTTCTGAAAATTGATAAAGAATTTATCATAAATATTCTATCCTGAAAATGTTAAATTCTTGAGATTAAATAAATATAAAGACTGAATTCATCGCTACTATTCAGCATAGATCTATATAAACTTAAAAAAAAAAGAAAAAAAATTCAAGGATCAATCACATCATATGATATTAGTACATTATTACTTTACTTTTAAAGTAAAGTTCATTTTTGATCAAATATTTTATAGAATTTTTTTTTTTAATTCTTTTTTTCTTAACTTATGATTGTTTTATTACGCTGTCTTTTTTTTTTAAAAAAAGTTTATCATTATCAGTAATTGATTTACTCTTTCAAATTCCGATCATTGAATTTGAATTTGGATTTGATGTATCTATTATGAAACTTAAAGAAAAAGAAAAAAATTGTTACATTTCACTTCTATCTTTTCAAGTTAAATTTCACATAAAAAAGATACAATGAGAGTAGAATAAATAATTCATAAAGAATATTGCCGTAATTGAATTTTTCCTACTAAACAAATTCATTAAGTATTTGTATAATAAATTCCTTTTGTTATGATTAATTTTTTTTTTTTGATTTTGTGGAGTGAAATTGTGATAAAGAATGATAAGGAATGAAATTAAGTAACATTTGCAATAAATTTTCTCGATATATCTTTGATTAATAAATAAGATTTTTATGAAATTATAAAAATAATTACATTATCAATATACATATATCTTTTGTATAACATATTAATTTACAAATTAAATTAAAATTTTAATTTCTATTAAAGATTCTACGATATGGTTATGAATGGAATTTATTCAATACAATTATTCAATTAACAATACTAATCATTCTTCTCATTATATTCTTTATCATATTTTGTATTTTTTATTTCCCACATCCAAATGATATCTCTGATCGATGGAAATTAATTTGTATTGATGCATTGTTACGTTTAACCAATCAATATTTTGTAAGTTTTTTTTTTTTAAAACTAAAAATAAATTATATATTCAAAGAGTTATTATGCCATACTATTTACATACAATAAAATATTTGATAAATGTAATGAGTGCATGTATGTATGTGTGTGTACATATATGTGTATATGCGTGCCTGCTTGTGTGCATGTATGTATGTATATGTGTATGTGTGTGTATGTGTGTATGTGTATGTATATATGTATGTCTGTGCATGTGTCTATGGACGTATGTGTGTATGGTATCTGTATATGTGTATGTATATATGTATGTATGCGTATGTGTGTATGTGTGCATTTGCACATATATGTGTGTATCTGTGCGTATGCATGTGTGCATGTAGGTGTGCGTATGTGTATGCATGTGTGTGTGTACATGTATGTATGTGCCTGTATGTACATGTATGAGGTGTGTAATGTGTGTGTGTGTATGTGTGTGTCTGTGTGTCTGTCTGTCTGTCTGTGTGTGTATGTTTGTAATATTAAAATGACCAGAAAAATTCCGCTAAAACTTAGTAATCCATCAATTGCATTTATTTATCATTGATAATGAAATATTTTATAATAGTTATCTTTTCTATATATATATATATATATATATATATATGATACTAATTAAAACTACC